TTGCCCTCATCAGGCCTGGGATTGATAAGGTTGAGCCCTGCTAGATCTCAGCTTCTTTCTGAAGCTTAACTCCTTGATTCCTCCCCCAGGTCATGAGGGAGCCAGGGCCAGCAATGGAAGAAGTTAAATGGCCAGGATGGGCTCTTTAGGGGACTACTGCCACGTTTTCACCAGCTTGTCTCCATTTCCCCTCTGGTGTCTAAGAGAGAATAGGGCAAATGTTAAAGTGAGGTTGCACGTGGTAGTCAAAGGCAGGGGGCCTAAGGTTCCAAGTTTTCAACTCTCTGCATTTTATTCCATAGTCATGAAATTATATCCATCTGCCAACTCTAGGCAATGACCGTATGATCTACAGTCAGACTTCAGGAAGAACTTCTGAACTATAAAAGGTGCAGAGAGTGATTGCATTCTCCACAGTCACAGAAATGTTGGGAGACCACAGACAATAGAGGTCATCACTGTTTCCTGAACACACCCTACCACAGTTTTGTTTTTCTCACACCCCCTCCCGCTTGCAAACCCACACATATTTTCCACCTTACATTCCCCAGGGCATATAGAAATCAAAGGCCTCAGACTGCCCAGCTAGATTCTCCAAGAAGCCACCAAAGATCCCAAGTGAAGCCAAATGGGCTTTTCACAAACCTCTTAACTCATCTCTACCTCCCACAAGGCAGAGGAACTCTGTAGGAACTCTGCTGTGTGAGGAGCAAGGGAGAAGAACTGAGACCCCAACTTTTTACTTTGCCATCCCTTAAACATGAAGACAAAAGAAAGACTTTTTAGACTAACAAAAGCCATGAGAATTCTTCACTATCGGATCTACATACTACAAGAAATGTTAAAGAAAGTTGTTAAGACAAAAGGAAAATGATATGAGATGGAAATTTGGATCTACACAAAAGAGCACTGGAAATTATGATCGTATAGGCAAATTAGGAAAAAAATTTCCATTTTTCAGTCTCTTTAAATGATAATTGTTTAAAGCAAACATCACAGTACATTGTGGGGCTTGTAGCACATATAGAATTAAACATATGAAAATAATAAGGCCCGGCGGAGCCTGTGGCTCAAAGGAGGAG